AATTAGCCGGGCGTGGTGGCACGTGCCTGTAGTCCCAGCTACTCAGGAGGCTGAGGCAGGAGAATCACTTGTACCCGGGAGGCAAAAGTTGCAGTGAGCTGAGATCGCGCCACTACACTACTCTAGCCTGGCAACAGAGTGAGACTCCGTCTCAATAAATAAATAAATAGAACCTAACTAATATAACATTTGAAATTTGGGCCCTTCCAGAATCTTTTCCCGTCTTTTTAACATGCAGGTGCAGAGTGGATACAAGGCTGCCTCGTGTTTCCCATTTTTCTCCTAATGGGATTCGCGTCCGGGTCTCCATGTGTTACCGGAGGCCACTCCCACTGAATGGATGGCTGCCCGGGGGTCTCTGCTCCTAGACCACATTTGCTCAGCAGCTCCCTGTGGTAGAAAACTGGCTGGGCCCATTCCCACCACTGGAAAGTCACTTTAGTGCAGTGTCCTCTTGCCTCTAAGATATTTTGGCCTCCCATTCTTTGAGCCTTGTGGGGTCAATGAGATGGAGAGTGAAGTGGGTATTTCTGTTTCCCCTCAGACCCTCTGGACAAGTCATGTTTTACCTGTGTGCTTCAGTGTTCTCATCTTCAAAACGGGGAGGATGAGACTTCCCCTTTCCCAGGGGACTGTGAAGATTAAATGAGATAGTGCATGAAGATTAAATGAGATAGTGCATTCGAGAGTAACCGCTCCAATTATCCTTGTTCTGGGAAAGCAGGCAGGTCCGGTGGACTGGGGGCCAACTTCCCCATCCCCTCTGTGGGGACCCAGCCTGGAGGGAACCTGAGACTTGGCCTGTGGCTCCTCCTCCCACATGACCCTGACGCTGTATCGCCTAACAGTCTCAAGCAGATTTCACTGTGACCTGTTGTTATTTTCCTTGCTTAGAGGTAAAGATGTAAGAACTGGAGCCTACCCATTGACTTGTGAGAGAACCCAGTGGTCTTCTGGGAGGGCAAATGTTTGGGCCACTGGGGACTGGGGAGCAAGATCCTGGCTGCAAAGAGAGGGAGGAGCTTCCCTCCTCCAGGAGATGCTCACGGATCTCAGGCCCTCGCTTCCCTCTGTCTGCTGAGCCCCATTTGGGCCTCTGCCTCTGCTACTTCCTTGGCCTTTCAGAAAGGCAACCCTAAAAAAGAGACCCCAGCTGTCTCCTCCAGGAAGCCTCTGTGCACCTTCTGCATGCTGATGTGGGTGCTGTCCCTCCTGGAGTGCTGTGTCCTACACCTTAGCACTCCCTGGCCAGTACCCAGGACACCTGAGCTCCCCACCACGCACTGCATATGCTCACTCCCCACTGGGCCTGGTCCACAGCTGCACACGCCAACACATGCACCTGGTCCGGGGTCCTAGCCATCCCCTGCCCTCCACAGTCACTCCTAGGTCTCAGCCACCCCACAGCTGTCTCTTTCCTTTCTCCTATCCCGATATCATGAATTGGATGACCATCTTCCAAGAGAGTGGCTCCAGATGTCCTGAGCAGGCATCGGAAGCAGCCAAAGTGCTCAGTCTCCTTTGCTTTCTTGGAAAAATGTTTTCCTTTTATTAGTGACTTCCCCTAGGCAATCCTTAACCCAGGGAAAGGGCCTGCTCTGTGAGCCTAGTGAGGGCCGGGCTGCCAGGCGGCATGTGGAGAGCCCGCTTCTCCCCTTTCTGGGAGTCCTGCACAGACGACGCCCTGGAATGCACTTTCCAGTCTCAAGGCTGTTCTGATGCTCTGTTGGGTCTGTGCCCAGAGGTTGTGTCAGAAGCTGCAGCCACCAGGTGGGGACGGCCTCCCTAGGTGAACTGACACCAACGCTCTGCTGTCAGGCTTGGACCTGTCCACTATTGAGCCATCCACCGAGGACTTCTTCCAGCCAGATCCAGCTCCTACCTTGTCAGCCTTGGCAATCCCCCAGGGTCCCTGGTCCCCCACCCTCCCCTCCCCGCCAGGCTCCCTCCCACCCCAGCTTTCTCACCTGCTAGCTCAGGCCCAGAATCCTGCCTCCCATGGCATCCGATGACTCCCCCGGCCAGTGTGCCAGGGCCTCTAGACAGCTGCTGCCACACCCCCCAACTCTGGCCAGCCCCGCAGCAGAACGAGGCTTGGGCCCAGGACCAGGATGTTGCCCTGTTTGAGGGCTGTCAGCAGAGGGAGTGTTGGCATAAACCACCCTTGGGTATGTGAACCCAGAAAATCTAAGACAGGGTCTCAGTGAATTTAAAAAGTTTATTTTGCCAGGCTGAGGACGCGCCCGTGACACAGCCTCAGGAGGTCCTGACGACATGTGCCCAAGGTGGTGAGGGCACAACTTGGTTTTATCCATTTGAGGGAGACACGAGACATCAATCAATATGTGTAAGATGTACATCGGTTCCGTCTGGAAAGGCAGGGCAGCTTGAAGCAAAGGCAGGAAGACCTGAAGCGAGGAGGGAGCTTCCAGGTCCCAGATAGGTGAGACACAAAGATTGCATTGTTTTGAGTTTCTGATCAGCCTTTCCAAAGGAGGCAGTCAGATACGTGTCTATCTCAGTGAGCAGAGGAACTTTTATTAATGAACTTGATTTTATTAATGAACAAATTTATTTTGAATAGAATGGGAAGTAGTTTTGTCCTAAGCAATTTCCAGCTTGAGTTTTCCTTAGAGATTTTGGGGTCCCCAAGGTATTTTCCTTTCACTGGTATCACCCACCCAGGAGAGGAGCCAGGTCAGGGAGTGGCAGAGAGAGAAGGACAGGTCTAAAGACTTCCTAGTCTCATTGAAGGTGGTCAGCGACCCCCCCAGGGGAGGGTGAAGCCCTCTGCTAAATAGAAAGCAGCCCAGACAAGGTCAAATCCCCCTCAAAACAGGGTACGGGGCAGGGGTGTTCGTCATGTTCATTCTGTTGGGCTTGGCCTCTGCCCTTTCATGGGTTCAGATGCCTAAGCCTTCCAGGGCCTCAGGTGCCTGATCTGCACCCGGGGAGGGCTGGAGGGAAAGGAGCCTGAAGGGGCTTTCAGGGCTTTCTGTGATTCGTTGACTACTTCAAACAAAAGCAAAGGCTTCCCAGCCGGGGTGATGGAGGAGAGGAAGAACAAAGCTGGCTGTGTTTGCTTGTGTTGGAATCCAAGGAGGGGACCTACTGGAATTTCCCTCCCCTTGCTGGAGGCCAGGGTCAGGCCACTGCCCTGACCTCTGTTTCCTGGGCCCTGAGACCGTGGCACTGTCAGAGCCCATTGGGAAAGACAGGCACAGGTGATTATTTATACAAGTCTTTTCTTTCAGTGGACTGTTTACATACGCCCAACTCTTTAAGGAAAGAAACTTTTGTTTCACAGTGAATGAAAGTTTTCCCATGCTTTAAGGTCACTCTTTCATACATTTCTTCTTAGTACAACACGAATCTCATTATAGGAATTTCGGTATTTTAACAAAAGGAACCACAGTCATCGTAATGAGATCCCCGAATAAAGTTCAGTTCATTTTCGTCTGCCTTTCCTCCCCGAATATTATTGCTGGAAATGTTACATTATCATAAACCCGAGTTCAGGATGCATAGTTTTCACAATTGTCTTCTTTTCTCCATAGACAAATTCTGATGACTGCCTTCATTTTACAAAGACCCCCTCCCCCCATGGGCGTTTCCATCTTCTCAGATATTTTTCTTTGCCTTACCCCGAGCTACGTACATAACCTGATGGCTAGAATTAGGAGAGTCAATGATGGATATTCCTGTATCTGTCTATGCCCTCCCTGCCTGCCACGTGGTGTGGGATACGTGCAGGAGGTAACCTGGGAGGGGACTGCTTCGAGGGGCTTCCCCAAGGACCTTCCTTGTGGCCATGCAGAAGGCCATGCAGAAGGACTCCCAGGGAAGGCTCTGGGCCCAAGCCCTGCTAGCCAGCTCTGCCTGCAGGAGGAAGGATAAGGGACTCCTACATGGCACCGTTGGAGGCAAGGTTCATGCACTGGAAGTTTGCAAGCAGACTTTATTTCCCCTCAACCACGTCAGAAACCTCTAGCAGGACCAATGCTCTAACTTCACACAAGGTTTCAGAGTTAGGGCCTTCTCCCTGATACACTGAAGCTGCAGGTGCGGCCTGCCCTCTAGGCCCATGTGCTGCATCGGGCCAGCTGGGCAGTCATGAGCTCCTCCAGCATCCTCAGACCCAGCAGCCACTCCTCTCTGCCTCCTCCCTGGTGTCTGTTGATGTCTCTGTAGGGAACATGCTCCAGGTGACCCAGACACTGAGCGCTTTGCAGGCAGGCAGCATCCTCCCCATAGCTAAGAGTAGGAACTACCTGTACCCCATTTCTTGGCAGGAAACAGAGGCTCAGAGTTTCAGCACATTGTTCAATAGACTGCAGCCAGATGATAAACATCAGAGCCAGGACATAAGCCTCTGTTGAATTCCAAAGCCCACACTCTTAAGCAGTCTATGGCCTTAGTAGTATCATTAATTATGCAGTGATGTATCAATACTCGGGGTCCTGTAGAGGTAGTTGGGACGTTTGCCCCTGAACTAAACGGTCAAAGCTCACTGTGCTTACTAAGGTTGTGCACCTGCTTTTCACAGCCTTTCTGCATCTCCCCTTATTCTCATTCTTTAAACTTGCCATGGTCATTGTTGTTGCCTAAAGCACCAGTACCCACCTGACCTGCTGTGGACCTGCTTGTTAGAATTGTTTGCAAAGGAAGCATCCATAGGCTATGAACAAGGATGCTGGGGCTTGCCTGTGAACACCAAGCTTCAGTGTGTTTATTCTAAGACTTTTTTTTTTTTTTTTTTTTGAGACAGAGTCTAGCCCTGGTGCCCAGGCTGGAGTGCAGTGGCATGATCTTGGCTCATGGCAACCTCCCCCACTCCCGGGCTCAAGCAATTCTTCCACCTCAGTCTCTGAGTAGTTGGGACTACAGACATGTACCATCACGTCTGGCTAATTTTTGTATTTTTAGTAGAGATGGAGTTTCACCGTGTTGGCCAGGCTGGTCTCAAACTCCTGAGCTCAAGTGATCCGCCTGCCTCAGCCTCTCAAAGTGCTGGGATTACAGGTGTGAGCCACCACACCCGGCCTCTAAGGCTCTTTTGATTGCTTTTTGAATTTTGGTTATGTTTGGGATCAAAGAAGGATGCTTGTTCTTATTTCTGGGCAAATGGAAGACCTTTTACCTTCTTTAAATCTGATCAGAAAAAAAAAAAAAAAAAAAAACTTTTTGCAAGGTTGGAGAGTCATTAAGTGGGGTGGGAAGGTGAGGCGGGTCTTTTGGGTTCTCTTCCCACAAAGTAGGCCGGTAGCCTTGAGTATGAGATGGGAAACCCATGGCTCCGTCTCTGGGGGGAGAGTTTCTTCTCCTCCAACCCAAGCCCTGAGTCTGGACGCCCGAGCTTTTATTCCTGACTCCAGTGGCAACTCTCTCTAAAGTCATCTCCCACCTCCGGGCCAGGCTGTTGGACATGCAGCTCTTCCCCTGCCGCCGCCACAGAGTTTGCAGAGTAAGCCCGGCGCTGCAGAGGTGACCAGTGCCGTGCAGATGTGAGGACTTGCGTGGACTCGACTTTGTCAGTGCCGTGATTGCGTTCCCCCCGGAGCTGACCATGTGAGCAGGTGTTAGAGCTGTCTCTGGAGAACTGAGTGTTAGAACCTGTGCGCCTGCCTGTCAGGGTGGTTATGGGCATTTAGTCAGGAGGGTGGATGGTTCTCGGAACCCAGGGGGGCAGAGGCATTCGGAACTGCCTGGCATTCTCACTTCCACTGGTTTCTTTACCAGCACCCACTTGCATTTTGTTTAGCAAACCCGGAACTCAGGAAGCTTGCCGCCTGGGTGCCCGTCAGCGGCGGCATGGTCCACCCAAGGGTGGGCCAGGGCAGAGGGCCTGCATGCCACAGGGAGAACAGAAAGGGAGCAGAGGCATTTCGTAGAGTGAGTTTTCCAACCCCTCTTAGGATCCTTCCTCCATTCTAAAGCAAAGGACATAAATACTAAACTGTGGTTCTTGCCAGTGCTGATAAGGAAAACCAGTGAATGCAGGAGTCTCATTAAGAAAATCCTAAAATTTTAGTCTTATCACTGCTGCAACATAATACAGTAAGTATGTTAATTCTCACCTCCCTCGGCTTCCCCCACCCAAAATCCCTTTCAGCTAAGGCTGGCAGGAATGAACTGCGCTCTGGCCACAGACTGAAGTCACGTCTGTTTGGATTTTTTCCCTCACCTTGGCTTCGTGTAGTGAGTCTCCTATTTGGGTGGACATGGCTTTTACCCCCTCACACTTCCAGCTGCCTTTGCCATTATTCAGTTCAACAAACATTGAGGAAATACCTACTGTGTGCAGGCCACAGTCATAGGAGCTGGGAAATGTCAGAGTCAGCTGAGTTCATCTCTTTGTAAGAGCCAATAAGCCGACGAGGGAGCAATGATTTATAGGCCAAGCCTGCCAGCCGGCCTTGTCCCCAGCAAAGACTCATTTCAACAAGCTTCTCTTCCAAGTGATTATTTGCTGTTTGTACTGCTTGGACTTGGCACGCTTCTACAATTCCTTTTACCAAAGAGGAAAGAGGAACCTTGAAGTAAGTACTTATCTCATAAAGAAAAGATTCCATGCATCGTCGCTCTGTCATGTGAATGGTTTGTTTTTGTTTTTGTTTTTTTTACCAGCGTGCCTTCCTCTTCCAAAGGCCTTCCCCATCTAGGGCTTTTTCTCCCTATGACACCTCTGTGCCATAGGTAGTAGAGATGCGGGTGTTCCCATTTCTCAGAAAAGGAAGCCGATGCCAGAGCGGGGCATGACTTGCTTGGTGCTGTGCTAAGGAGTGGCAGGGCCACCCAGGCCCAAGTGCCCGGCCCCTCATCCGCATCTCTTTCCATTACACCAAACCCAGAGCAGGCGGGCAGGACAGAAGAGACTACGGCAGCACCGGCGCCTGCTGGGCTGGCCTTGGCTGGGAGGGGCTCAGGAAGACCCAGGAAATAGCAGACCGGGAAATACTGTTCCGTCCTGCCCCGGACTCCCGGGAGGCATCGGCAGGAGAAGCAGGGCAGCAGCTGTGAGTCACGGTGATGGATGTTCACGGCTCACGGGTGGGCGGCTCGCGCATGCACTGGTGCCAGGGTGGCCACACGGCTGGCAGGCCAGTGGGCTGGGTGTCACATTTCAGCAACATGATCTCAGCTCTGCCCAAGTGAGGAGGAACATGCATGCGGGCATCTGTGGCCTTCAACTCAGAGAGGGAGTAGGTGGAGGGACCAGGCGGTGGAGGGGACCCCTCTGGTTCGATCCTTTCCGTTCCTTTGCTGGCCTTGCCAGCCTTTTCAGGACCACCAGTGCTGTGCGTGTGTCCCTCCGAAGAGTCCAGAAAGCTAGATTTAAAAGTCAGAGTTTCTGAAGGACTTCGTGGTGAGCAGAACACATTTGGCATGAAAATATTACAGGAAAACAAAAGCCTCCCAGGCTTCCTGCCTCTGAGCAAAAGAATCAGAAGGCATTTTCCACGTGGAGGGGAGGCCATTTCTGTTTCATGGGGATCTTAAAAGTCATTTTGCTGCCTGTATTTTTTTTATCCAAACTCAGACTTTGGTTCTCAGTTGGGTGACTTAGTGATCTCTAAAATTTGCTGACATTCTGGCTCGTGAGAATACATACTGTTACTTTTACTTTTAATGAATGAGATTTGTTTTTAAAAGATCTCCTCAAATCAGCTGAGCACTCCAGGTGCAGCTGTGGCACTGGTGCTGGGAGGGGAGGCCAAATGCCTGACTTCAAGGTGCTGGGAGCTAAGAATTCCCGTCTCGACACATAGGAGGGAGGAAAAAGCCAGAGAAGACTTGACAACTGACAATACAGGCTAAGGCCAGGCCCACGCTTGGAAGAGAAGAACTTTCTCTTTGTCTCCTTGCCCTCTGCCTATCCCTGAGCCTGAGGGACCGGGAGGGCAGGGGACACTTCTGGGGTTTGGCCCAGAGCATTTTTTTCTTCTTTTCTTGTTTTCCGCTAAACCATGTGGCTTCAGACCATGACATTTCTGTTCGATGCCGTCAGTGCCTTGGTTTGAGGAGGATGTCTGTGTACCCAGCTTTCTTGGCCAAGAAGAAATGGTGCCTGGAGCTTGCTGGCATCTGCTCTTGCCCTGTCTCCCTTCCTCTCTCTCCTGCATGACCAGCAGCCAAGGGACAGTTCCTTCTGGCCAGGCAGTGGGATGGAGCTAAGGGGGAGGTGATGCAGGAGCAGGGCCCAGACCCCCGTCCTGAGCTTGGCAAGGGGCCTGGTTTTGCCCTGCCTGGGAAGACTAAGGCATGGAACCTGCTGGGACTTGCCTGGCTCCCCAGAGGCCGAGTGAGCCCCAGCCCCTGCCCCTCCCCCAGGCAATCCAGCAGAGCCAGGGCCCACCGCTATTTTTAGAAAGCTATCAGGTGCGCAGGACGCCCAGTTGCCATTTTCCACCTGTTTGGGCTCATTCTGGGGATCCTGTGTCGCTGCCCCAGGCCCTGCCTGTCCTGATGTGATTGTCTTACTGTGGCCTGGAGCTGGCACGAAGCTCCCTCCCGATGCAACCCAGCCACCCTTCTGGCCTCACCTGGCCTGCAGCCATTGTGTCTTCAGAAGCATAGACGTTGGGCCCTAATGTTTGCCCTCCTCTGCTTCCTTGAGAGGAAGGTAAAGACTGAAAAGTAAAAGCAGGTTAGGAAGAACCTGGAATTGGGAGCCCATCGTGAGGAGTGTTGAGTCATTGAGTAGAAGATTCTGGAACCTTTGTCCTAAAGGAAGCTGCATGGAGTGTGCAGTCTGGCAGGGGATGCCCACGTGCACCCGTGGAGTTCATTGCCAGCGCATGCAGTTCAGAGGAACGTGAGTGGTCAGAGGAAGCGTCTCAGGGGAGGGGAAACCAGAGCTGTGGTCATGTGGGCATGCAGGAGGGGTGGCATCGAAGGCAGAGGGACCACAAATGCTGCGCTCTTGGCCTGGCAATGGGACAGCCCATGCGTGACTAAGGAGCCCCGAGGAGGCATGAGGCTGGTGCAGAGGGCTCTGCATGGGGCAGGGGAAGGAGAGCCTGGAGAGTGAGGGGTCACCAGGCCTGAAACACCCTGAATTCCAGGTGAGGTGTCTGGACAAGATCCAGCAGATGGTAGGAAAAACCACTGAAGGTTGGAGGGGAGAGACAGGAACCTGGTGGGCTGGTGGCCTGCTCTGCCCCCTGCCTACCAGAGTGACCTGGCCGCCTCATGGTCACAGAGCAGCCGCAGCAGCTGTGGGTCCAGAGCATCACCTTCGTGACCTGCCCTCCACACCCAGTTCACAAGTCTCTAGGGTGGGGTGAGCTGGGACTGGCTCCGTGGCTCCCAAGAGCCCATTGCTAACATCTCTTCCCAGCTCCTCGTTAGGAAACAGCACGTTGGTAGCTCAAAACGGCCACAGTGGGAATATTTGTACAACAGAGACTGGTGAACGCTGCATGCGCCTCAGGGTCTGGGTGGGGTTTTTTTTGTCCACCACCACCAGCAGAGCCGGGTGTTAAACATTTACCAGCATAGCTCTGGGTAATGGTGCGCCCCCGCAGAGTTTCTTGCTGGAGGTTAGCATGGTGGACTGAGCAGTGACCACACGGGGCTGGTATCCTGCGTTGGTGGACTTGCGTCGTGTCACTTCCCTGCTAGGAAGCTAGGGAGCGGGGATGGAGCCTCAACCAGGAGAACTGGGTGACCTCGGCCGTGTTGGCCCATTCTGAAACCAGGCTCCTTAACGTGGGCTCCCAGACCCTGGACACAGCTCACATGGAGGACACATGTGTTTCCTGCCTCTCTGCTTCGTCACCTGAGCAGGCCCTGCCCAGCTACCCTGGACCTCTTTCCAGTCCTTAAATGCGACCTGCTTCTCCTCCGCTTTAGAGCCAGCACATGCTTGCCCCTCCCTCAGAATCCCGCCCCCCAGCCACCCCAGGGGGAGCCAGGCAGCATTAGTATATACGACACCGTGTCTGCAGGGCCCTCATGGGTCTTGTCCAGCACGGAAGCTGCGCCATGCTGTCTGCAGCACCCCTCCTGCCTGCTCGGAGACTGTGGAGCCCGGAGCCAGGAGGGACGTCCCTTTCCTGGGGTGGGTGGAGAAGCTTGCCGGCTTAGAAAGCTGTGAGAAGAACTTACAGGCTGTTGTCTCCGGACACAGAGCTAGAGCCTTTCTCAGCGAAGAGTCGGCTTGGTCTTGATGGCGTGGTGAAAGCAGCAGGATTGGTTCCGTGCTCTTGAGTTCCAAAACATGCAGCCCACAAAATCGTCCAACCACCTCGCCACATGGGTTGTGCTGTCATTTCAGAGGTGAGGAAACCGAGGGCCAAGTGGTTAGCTTACACCCCAAGGCTCCATAGGAGCAACTGGTAGTCCCCAGGCCTTGATCTTGATTCCTGGAGCCCTAAACCCCAAGTCAGCTTTCTGCATTGAAGGTTTTGGACCATTCATCCCAAGCAAATGCAGACATCAGGAGCAGCCCAGGCTCTGCCAGGAGATCAAGGTACAAGGCCCCGGGGCTACTGCAGACCCCATCACCACCACCCCTCCAGGACCTGCCACTAAAATGGGAGTTAATGGTGGCAGTGAATACACTGTTGCATTTGTTGCTCTTTTGGGAAAAGAAAAACCTGGCTTCTAAGAGCTGTTGTATTTTATTTTTCTGTAAAGAAGAAATTAATTTTAGTCTTTCTTTTTGGTTTAAAATGTTGTTCTTTGCTTTTTCTGCCCTACAATTTAAAAGGAAACATTTGTCTGTTGAGAAAAGAAATGGTAATTATAGACTAAAAATTGTTTCTATTCTGATTTGAAAAAGTGACAAAAAAAAATTCCATCGCACAGATGGGGCTCTGCTGACGGAGGGTGTTTAACAATGAGGCCCTGGGCCGGTTTGGGGCTCGGAATGGCTGGAGGTGGGTGTGGGATTGGGTGTCGTGGGGCGAGGGGCTGTTTCCGAGGCTGGTCTCCATTTCCGATGCTGGTTAGTCACTAGTTCCTGTGCCCTCTGTGTGGTTCACCAGTGGGAAGAAGAAGACGTGACTGGAGATGTCACCTGTGGACCCTGCAGCCCTTGTAAGTTGGGCTGTACAGGATGAGGCCACGCGCTCCCTTGCACGGCCCCTGGGCCCAGAGAGCCTCCAGGCTTTATTCCCTTCGCCCAGAATTTCACTTTTCAGCCTCACAAAATTACAATTGCTCCAAGTCCTTTGATCAATAAAGCAGGAAACTGATTAGACTGTGAAATTAAACTAATAATGTCACGCTGTTAACCCTCAATCAGTGGGGACTGAACTCAAAGTGAAGACTATTTCCAAGATCCATGTTACCCTTTGGACACATGTATTTACTTTTTTATAGAAATCCTAGGGACGTGCACATCCCCAGACCGCCTTTCCTTCCTGCCACTGCAACCTGATTCACAGTGCTATCTCTATGGCCACCCTGGCGGTGCTGCCACATGTGTGGTGTGGAAGGCCAAGATAGAGCCGAGTCTGCAAGTTGGCTGGAGTTAGAGCTGCCCCTTGGACCTTAGGAGCAGGACTCAGAGCTTCTGCTGCGAGTGTGATCC